GATGGTCACAAGGGGTCACTTCTAAACACTGGGGTTTGGAGGTGTGAGGCCCTGCAAATACAGTATCACCCCAACTCAGGGACCTGTGGTCAGCAAGGAAGGGGCTGTGGGCTTAGCACACACGGTGCCAGGTCCTTCCTCAGCCCTCCCATCCCTGGGCACCAGCCTGAAACCCGAGTCCTAAGCAGCTCCTGGCAGCGCCTCCTGTCCAGGGCCCAGAGCTCTGGGTGTTGTTCTAATTTATGGGGCCACGGGACCTGGCCTGATGTCCTCCTTCGTCACTCTCTCGGCAGTGAACGTTGCTGCTCTGCCAACCTCGGCCACGTACCCTTGACCTTCCGTGGACCCATCCAACGGGGTCTGTCTGTTGAGGTCGGAGGTGGGCAGTGCAACCCCGTGCTAGTCAGTCTGCAGCTATCAATGGCTGTGCTCACTCACTCACCCACCCACTCCACGGCCCATAATGATTCTGCAAGGAAATGAGCAGGGAGAAAGGAGCCATGCCCCAAACACGAAGGAAGACAGGTTGAGAGAGCCCCTGGCAGTCTGGCCCTTGCTCCTCCAGCACTCCTCAGCTGTGCAGTCTGACTTTGGGCTCCCCAAGGGTGAAAGGGACTATAACAGCACATATCTTATGAAGTCGGTATGAGGGCTGGGTGTATGCAAATGATTACATGTATATGAAATGAGTATGTAAATGTTAGGGAGGCTGCTGGGTGTTCAATAAATGTTAGGGAGCAATATTAAGTAAATAATGGCAAATCTCTCTTTCTCGTGTGTGTGTGTGTGTGTGTGTGTGTGTGTGTGTGTGTGTGTGTGTGTGTGTGTTGTATATGCACACATGTATGCAGGTGTATGTGCTTATATGTGCATACTCACAGAGGCCAGAGGACAACTCTGGGTGACCTGCTCTATTTGCCTTAATTTGTCTCTGTCTCTGTCTCTCTCTCTGAAACAGCCTCACTATACAGCCTGGCTGTGCTGGAACTCACAGAGATCCACCTGCCTCTGCCTTCCAAGTGCTGGGATTAAAAGGTGTGCGCCCTGCCTCATTTCTTTGAGTCGGGGTCTCTCGCTGACCTTGGAGCTAGGGTGCTAGCCAGTTAGCCCGTGAGCCTCCTCTCTGTGCCGCCTAAGCACTGGGGTTACAGTGATTTGTATGTGGGTGCTGGCATTTAAACTTAGGTCCCACCCACTGAGCACTCTCTCCAGCATGATAAAAAGATCTTTGAACACCAAAACAAAATAAAAAAATTGTTCATTTCTACCATGCCAACAGCTTCTAAGTTCCTCAAAGCAGCCTGCACCCAGAGACCACTCACCTCACGTGAAAGAATAGTGGGGCCTGGCACTGGACTGGCAGGGCAGTTCCTACCCGGGCCACATGGTCTGGAAGGAAGAGGTTCTCCTTCACCCTCTGCCCTTGATGGGAAGTGGGGTTTGTTCATTCACCTTTGTGACTTGATGAAAGAATAACGAGCCCCACTCTCCTTCCGGCATAACTGGGCACACTACCTACAGGCCTTGCTGTGTGGAATCTACTTAGAGGTCCTGGGGGTGAGAGCATCACTCGGGGGCCTGAGCCAGGACCTGGGTCTCAGTCAGGGAGACTTGGTGAGAAGCAGAAGGCTGGGTGGGGGTAATAATGTTTTAGGGTCAGAGGACTCCCATCCAGGGTGGAGGGTGGTCAGGGGTCACATAGGGTGGAGTGGAGGAAGAAGCCCTGAGCTGTACAGACTTACACCTGGGTCCTGGTTGTCACCAGACAAGTGGATTCCTCTTTCTGAGCCTCGTTTTCTTCATCAGGATGCACAAAGAGCATCTTCCAGGTCTCACACAGAACGAAGGGGACAGTGCATTGCTTCCCAGTGTTGAGTGGCCACTGACCCCTTCTGCTCCTGTCTGCCTGAGAGGAGCCTTGTCCCTGCAGAGACTGGACATGTCCCGATGGAGGAGGCTCCTTTCTGCCTGATCTCAGCTGACAGTGACTTTGCTTCCCTGGGCATCATGGATATTGTCTGGGGGCATTTTTGGTTGTATATTGTGATGGAGTTGGAGGGAAACTGCTACTGTATCGGGTAAGCTGAGGCAGGAATACCACTCATCATGCTACACCGTACAGAAGAGTCCCCTCAATAAAGAATGGCCCAGAGAGGTTGTGGTCTCTGTCCCAGATACATGCTGTCCAGGACGGTGACTGCCAGCACAGGTGACGGCGGGGCCTTTGCAGGTGACCAGCCACCCCACTCCAGATGAACTTGGAGTGTACGAAGTCTCACAGGGGAAAGAATGTCAGCTTTCTCAGGAATCATCCCTACATTATCATGTATTCCAATGATGGCATTTTGGATATGTTGAGCTTAACAAAATATAGCATGAGCATTAATTACATCTCTTCAACTTTTGTGTGTGTGTTTTACATGCACATATGTGTGTGTGTGTGTGGGGTGAGTGCCCATGAATGCCACAGTAGGGTGTTGGTTGTCCTGCTCTGATGCTCTCTGCCCGGGCCTCTCACTGAACCTAGGCTGGTAACCAGCAAGCCCCCAGTGACCCTCTTGTCTCTGCCCTCCACAGAGCACAGGAGCACATAGCCACACCTGTGGGGCCCGAGGATTCGAACTGAGATCTTCACACTTGCAAAGCATTGCTCTGACTTTCAGAGACGTTTCTCCAGCCCTAACTTTCATTTTTGTTGTTTTGAGGCAAGGTCTTAATATGTAGCACTGACTGGCCCAGGAGTTGCCATGTGGACCAGGCTGGTCTCAAACTCACAGAGGTCCATACTTGCCTCTGCCTCCCAAGTGCTGGGATTAAAGAATTAAAGGCATGCACAACCACTCCCAGCTTCCAGTCCTAACTTTAAAAAAATTTACTTTTTATTAGTTTTTTTCTTTTTCTTTTTCTTTGTTTGCTTTGTTTTGTTTTGGAGACAGGGTCTCTGTGTAGTCTTGGCTGTCCTGGAACTCGCTATGTAGATCAGGCTGGCCTTGAACACACATTGATTCCTCTGTTTCTGCCTCCCCAGTGCTCAGATTAAAGGCCATTTTTTTAATTTTTTTGAGGTGTGCATGCATGTGTTGGGGGGGGAGGATAAGAGAGGGTCATGCTGGTAGCCCAAGCTGACCTGGAACTCACTATGTAGTCTAAATGAGCCCTGGACTCCTGGTTCTCGGGTGTTGAGATTACCGGTGTGAACCACCAACCCCATGTCTGGTTAACTTATCTTAAACATAGACTACTACAGCACTTAAAGCGACGGCTGTGGCATGCTTCAGCCTCTTTTGGGCAGGTACTGGTCTAGGCTGTGCTGACCCTTGGTGTTGGGGAACTCTCATTACTGTGAACTGAGTCCTGGCTGAGGCTGGCGGAACTAACAAGAGCTGGCACCTGTCCTCTTGTTCCCCGCCGGGCTCGGCTTCTCTCTGCTAGAGTAGAGCACAGACAAGGACTTGGGCACGGGGCCCCCTTTGCTCCCTAGCCCCCAGCAGACGCAGTGTGCCAGCCTTTCAGACAGTACCCACAGTGACCCAGCAAGCAGACGGGCATGGTGACAGCTGTGGCTTAGGGACCTGGGCGCCCTGGATCCTGGCTTACCCCTTGGCAGTGCCCAATTCAGAGTTGGGAAGGGGGAGAGATGGGCATTCTCCCAGGCCACTGGCGCCTAGACCATACTCCACCCTGTGTTACAATTCTCAGGGCCCATCCAGTCCTCCTTTGGGGTCTATATGCAGGACCCCTGAGGTCCAGGCCCAGGTGATGTGGAAGCTGGGGCAGAGGCCTAGGAATAAAGGAGAAGAGAGAGGCCTGGTCACAGGCTTGCTGGGATCAGCAGGGCCAGTGCCTCCTGTAGAAGTGGCTGGGCAGCTGGGAAGGAACTGGAGTGTGTGTGTGTGTGTGTGTGTGTGTGTGTGTGTGTGTGTG